GATAAAGTTGGTTCTGAAAGATACTGAATCATCTTGAGTTTATCTGCATGTAAGGTGGACATCGGGTGAAGACCGCTGATCAGAAACAACCTGCCAACGAGGCATTTAGTGACACCAGCACTGATTATCGGCGAGTTAGGGTGGCAGACAGTCACTACAGCCGTGACAGAGCGTTATTTTTGGTGAAGGTTAGTGTGTGAAAGCTCTTGGAGTCGTTTTTATTTGCCTGATTTATTTGTTGTTGCTTAACAAATTAAAACTACTGATTCAAACCGGCTGCTCTAAAGAAAGCTTTTGTCTCCTGAACCTGAGATACAAGTCTGAAACAAAACCAGCTTCTGTGTGAGAGTGTGTGAGAGTGTGTGAGAGTGTGGTTTTTTCCAGTTCTTCCTTCCTACAAGTTTCTGAATCTTGATAAAGAGCAGAGGGCGGTGTCACTGTGGCTGCATGATTCAGGAAGAGCTTACGTGTGTGTGTGTGTCCCCACTTCCTGTATGAGGTGTCACAAGGGCTGCATGGAGAAATGTGTGTGTGTGTGTCACTCTGTAGGCAGATCGTGAATAATAAACCCTCACACACAGAAATTACTGAGTCACTGCAGTCAGCGCCTCTTTCTCTGTCTCGCCACCTAACAAGCTCTCACCTGCCCCTGGTATTCCCCCCTCGGCATCTTTACACACCACTGTCAGACCGACAGGATCGTTCTGCTGCCGCTTTGCTCAATAACACCCGACTTTTGACCCCGGTGTTACACCTCTCAGCCTTTTGGCATGCGGAGAAGCGCCTGTAAGAGCTTTTTCTAGGCCACCACGACAACAAAAGACGCAGATAAAAGCGTGAGAGGCGAAGCTGAGTGGATGCTTCGCTTGGATTGGTGCCCTGAAGACAAACATCGTTCAGCGCGCGCACACAAAGAGCGGAGCACATCTGCAGTCGTCGCCGAAATGCAGAAACTAGCATGCGTGCACTTGTGTGTGTGTGGCTGCAGTGATGAAACAGCACTCACACAGTTTCTTACAACACGCAGAAATGCTTCAGAAGAGCTGCACAGAAACAGAAGCTATTCATTTAACATCCCTCGGGGCTCCAGCCAATGATCATTTCCATTATTGATTAATTGTAATTACGCTAATAAATTAAGGAATCCATATGTGTCTGATTTACTTCACACTGACTGTTTCTGGAGAACATGTAAAAACGCGAATCACACTCAAAGTGTTTATGTAGCGAGGTGGAGAGAGACTTCTTATGAGAAGCTCAGGAAAACAACAATTCCAGAAATAATCATGATGTCATGTGTGTACGAAAAACACAGTAGGACTGTTTTCTTCTTAAATGTCAGGCTGTCTGTCCCAGAAAATCACAACACTCCGACCTGTCTGCAAACACTCACCAACTACCTGCTGAGCCGCGTGAAACCATGAAAAGTGCAACACAGAGACCAACGTTGTGCCTTTTCAAATGAGTCATTGAAATGTGGTAAGCCACGACTTTTACTTTCAACATTAACGTCCTCTGTTTCCTGTTCACTGCTGCCTGAGTGCTTGCAGACAAGTCTGCGTCATCCATGCAAACAACAGGTAACGGCATCGATCTGCAAGCAGCGAAATAAATACAAGAAGGTTTTTGGTGCAGGTTCCTCTTATGACATGTTGCTGTTAGCTATTTAGATATTAGCTGTTTGCCAGGATCAACTTTTATAACTGCCAATAAATAAGAAATTAAAACTAAAGAAGAGATGGAAGAAACACCCTTCAACCATGAGTGTTGATGTTTCACAGTCAGTGCACAAGGGGGAACTCTGAAGCATCCCTGTCTGCAACATGTTATTGCAACGCCTTATTATTATTATCGCATCAACTTTAAAACCTGGTTGGGCTCTACAGTGCATTAGTGACCAATCACGTCACAAGGAGGTTGCAGCACAGTCTTTGCAACCTATTCCACCTAAAGACAGAAACTTCTGGCAACCAGTTGGAGATAAAGAGGGGTCTCCAACTCTGAGTCTGAGGTGTAAAATTAAAGAATGAACTTATATTTAGTTATTTTTCAGCTCGTTTAAACAGCTTATCAAGTAGTTTTAGTTGACTGTTAGTTTTTCAGCTTGAACTTCTTTCATTTAATTATAATTTCAGGGGTTTTTTTATTTAGCTGAGCTCACATTTACATGGACACTCTTTTTACTGCAGAAGTACCTCTGGGGTAATTGTAGGCCTACTCCTGAATCAATGGGGCCTTTATGTTATTTGTATTAGAGGAAAACTTGTACTGAATGTTAGTGGATTTTTATGTAGGTTTTAAATCTGATTTAGAGTCACTGTAATGTTCCTGCTGACACCATTGAACCAATACGGTGACAAAAGCTCTTTTATGGCATTTGTGGGACCAAATAGTGATTTTACCCTCTCATGCTTGTGCCTAAGAACACCTTCAATCTCACACTAACACAGCTATGACACTCCTGTAGCAACATTATGGGGTTTTTTCAATCTCGTCTAACTACGCCTGCAGAGTTTTTTATTAAATCTGTGTGGTTTATAATCACGCATCGTTTCATGTGTTGCAGTGCTTGTAAGGATCCTTAACTGCACCCGGCAGTTTACTGAGACATTCATATAAATGAATGAAATACTTGGAGCAGTACTTCTATATTGTACCATATTACACAGTCTTTCTTGGGTTTTTAATCTATTTTTTAAAGTAAAGTCCTTATAGGAGCTTAAGATTTGGCTGCTGCTGTAATTAATAATAGCCTTTAACCTGCTGGTTTAGCGCTCAAACATGACATTAACTACTGCACCTCTGCAGCTGCATATTCTGACACTGGACTAATACTTAAGGCAATGAGCAGGAGCTGTAACAGCTTTAGTATTTGAAATAAAGCCTTGCATGTCCACAGACTGATCTTAAGAGACTTGGCATGGTTTGTTAAAATAGGGGGGGGTTTACGCCCTGCTGTGTAACTGAGACTTTAAGGTGATTTAGTGAGTTTGTGACACCCAGAGTCAATTCACTGAGCTTCAGGGTCAGGCCAGAGAGAAAAGACTCTTCAGATCATTTTATGTCCTCTTCCACAGTTTGTTTCCTATGGATTTGTAGAGCATTTGGTGTGTAGAGCCTGCCGGTATTATCTGTATCTGCTTAAATAGTAAAAAATGTAATAGTCATGAAGTAGTTTTGTGTCTTCAGAATGATCTTATTCTACTTTCTGTTGTGCTTCAGTAAAAGTAATTCAGTCCTGTTTGAGATCCGTGGTGTTTTTAGTCTAACTTAAGGTCAGAATGATGGCTCGATAGCAGCTTTAGCTGCTGCTCTCGGTCCTAATAAAACCTACTTTGCACAGTTTTGCACTTCATCACGTTTCCATTCTCTTATTCTAGCATTTAAACATGAATCTGTTATTTCTAAACAGACTGACAAATAAAACCCAAATGTAACAACTCTGTGCCGAAACTGCTTCGAGATGTGATTCACTGCAACTAATATAGTCCCTGTTGGAGCTCTGTGCTGCTTTAAATCTCATTTAAAATAGAGTTTGTGTAATAATACAATCTGATTTGCCTTCATATTTGTGTACTTTCTGACGTTTTAAACCTCTCAATGAAACACCAGCTGTATTGTTCTTCTGTGCCCACTGTACACTGTGCTGGTGTAATATTTCTGCACAGAATATTACTTCGTGTTTGTGTCTTCAGAGTTACATGAACTGATTTCCTTTTAGAGTTTTATGGTATTTAAAATCCAATTTAGGGCCCTAATAGTGTCCTTGTAGTCACTCAGCAGTACTAATACAGTCTAATTTCATATGCTTGTCTCTTTCCACACTTTCAGTCTCTTTTAACTGACACTGACGTGCGTCCATGGCAGGTTTTTTTTAGTTTATTTTAGTTTAATATTTTAGCACATGCTCAGGGTTTCCTGTTGCACAAATGTGACATGTCTGGAGGGTGTGCACCACGTTCAGGTGTTTAGAGTAAACACATCTTAATCTACGTCGTGTTTTAATGCAGCTAACTTCATCTTTTTGGAGCTTTATAGTGTTTTCAACCAAATTTTAGGGACAAATTGACGCCCCCTATAGTCACTGGTGCTGTCAACCATAATGCAATGTAATTTTTCACATTTTTGCCCTTTATGACATTTAAAACCTCTTGATTTAACACCAGAAACATGTCCATGGCAGCTTATAGCGATGTTGTGGTACTTTATAGTATTTCCGTGCCCTGTAGTACCACTGTAATACTCCTGCATAAAGTATTATTACATATTTACACCTTTGGGTCATCGCTTGATACTTTGTTTTATTCCAGCTAATTTAGTCCTGCTGAAGTTTTCTAGGGTAAAAATTATGTCTGTGTTGTAGTTTAGCTGCTAAGAAGAATGTCTTTAACTTAAAAAATCTACCGGTAATTACCCTGAAAGCCGCTTTCATATTTTTGCAATTTATGATATTTTAAACCACTTGATTAACACTGGATCATACCCAGGACATTCCTGCAAAGAGTTTTGTGCTTATTTGGGAGCTTATACGACACTTTGGTGTACTTCTGCGCCCTCCTGAACTGGTGTAAAATCTCTGCAATAAAAATGATTTCATGTTTGTGTCTTCAGAGGGAAATAAACAGATGTTCCCAGAGTTTACGGTGATAAAAATAATTATCCCTGCAGTTACTTCGCAGCTGCTGTCAATAGAAACGCAATGTAATTTCGTGTTTTCGTCCTTGATGACATTGTCAGCTTACTGTTTGAGCACTTCATCGTGACTCTGTCGTTGCCAGCACATGTTCGGCGCTTCTTGAAGCACAGATTTACCTGCAGAGTGGTCTCACGGTAGTTCGTGCTGTGTTTGGGAGCAGCTGCCTCTGCCTGACAGAGACTTAAAGGCGCTTTTCCTTGTGCTGTGTTTTGTGTTTTTACCCCCTTAAAAGCTGCTGCTGTGACTGCAGCCCCCAGTCAGCTGTCAGTCAGTGTGACAGCAGGACAAACCAAAGTGTGCTCACCTCTCCAGCCGTCCTCCCCAGCGGCATCTTCTGCCAGGGGTCCGCCAGCTGAGCCAGAGGCATCTTCTTCTTCTGCCCCTACTTTTCTTTCTTCTTCTGTTATTCCTCTTTTCTGCTGCTCGTACCTCCCTCGCTCCGGACGCTTTCTCGCCTGTTTGTCCTCGCTCTTATTCTTTAAAGAAAATGTTTGAAGGTAGTAGTCCACTTTCAGCGTCGGCAGGAACCGAACCGACCGACCAACCGACCGAACGGAGCCGAGCGAACAAGGGCTAATTCCGGATCTGCCGCGGCGCTGAGACCGCCCCTTCCTCCAGAGAGACGAAGAGGAGGAGGAGGGGGAGGAGGACGCCCTTTTTCGGAAACTGATTGACTTATCTCCGTTTCTCTCTACCTCCACCTCTCCCTCTCTCACTTCCGTTCTTTCCCAATATGGCGACCGGTGTCGGCTTACCTGTCCGTCAGAGCGCTGCGTCACAACTACGTCACGACGACAGGCGGCATTCTCACTTAGGTAATAAAAGAGTGAACGAGCACGTATCTGAACTTATGAATAAACAGTCTGCGATTCATCACGCAGGCGGTGTTGTTTTGTTAATGATTATTTTTTTTTACCGATAAAGCCTAACAGCGTGGCGCCAAAGTGCCTCACACAATCACAGAAAGTATGGAAAACGACCTTAAACGACCCGTAAATTAGGCCACGTGAACCCAAAACACGAAGCAGTAGCATAAAATACAAAATATTACCCCCAAAATATGCAAAATTACTTTAAATTGTCGAACAAAGAGCTACATGACCACAAAACATAAAAGGTAGCACAAAATACAAAAGTATCCCAAATATATTCGAAATGACCACAAACTATCCAAAATAAGACACGTAACCCCATAAAAACCCATCACAAAGTACACAAATACAAATAAAAAACCTGCAAAATGATGACAATCCAACAATAACATGGAAAATTGCACCAAAAGATGTAAAAATAACCACAAAGCAGCCAAATGTAAACAAAATAACCACAAACCTACTCTAAATGACAATGTCAAATATGCAAAATCAGTAAACACATACAAAGTGATACACCAGCAGCCGCAAAATGACTACAAAATGTCCAAAACAGTCACAAATGCCATGAAACAAATTACCATAAAATATACAACATCTGCACAAAACCACCCTCAGAAATACTGAGACCACAAAATCCTGCTAAATGTCCACAAACAGCCCACAGCCCTATAAGTTATTCCAACTATACTGTAGTGAAACACAAAATAAACCACTAAAAAAAAAAAAAAAAAAAAAAAAAAAAAAGCTCCAGGACAACATAAATGTGTGAAAACTTATGAAATACCAAGTTACCAGAAAAACATACAAATGAACACTATGCAGTGACCATAAACCACTCAAAATATACATATATATGAAAATCTCACAAAAACGAGAAACACGAGCACAGGAAGGAAAATGACTTCTGAAGTACACAAAACGAGATCAAAAACTACACAATAACCAAAAACAAACACCACAAAGAACCTCGTGAACGTAACTCCTGGATTCACCGCATCGTTTCCTTAAAGCTGTGCGTCGCTACAAAATCCAGTTTTGAATACTTTTGTCATTTTTTCCGTTTTCTGTGACAACTTTTCAGTGGTTTAAATTTACAGCATTTCATGTTTGTCGGAGTCGAGCATGAATTTCGTTCATAAAGCTTTAATAAATCGACCAAAAGAAAAAAGTCCAGGCATGTTCATTTTTATACTATGATGCTGATGCTGACAATAAACCAGGATAAATTTTACTCTAATTAAAATGAAAAAAATAAATAAATTTTTAGTTTTGAGCAGTTTCAGCCTGATAGTGACATCTAGTGGTTGAGGATGGAACAACTGCACAGCGCATGGATTTCCTTTAGGTTGATCAACTATTGAGTCATATTTGAAGCATTACTTTGTAACCACATTTGAAAGCTGAGCAAATAAAATAGGATTCAAACACACACACACGTTTCCACTTTGCTTTAAAGTCGTTTTATTTCACAACCTTCAGTTTCCACCATTCACACAGGTAAATAAGAAAGCTTTATATCTGTACAGGCTCAGATACAGTAAACTTTAAAGAACACAGAGGAAAGATCTTATAACAGACTCCTTTAAATTCATAAAGTGCCCAGAAAGTCTCAAATGTAGTGCATCCAGTTGCCAGCTTGAGTTTCCCCACACAAGTCCAGATGTTTGTCTTGTCAGTAGTCAAGTCAAGCAGCTAAAGTCTTGCTTTCATCTTCAGCTTATAAACACATTTTTAGAGCCATTTTATGGTTACATACACTGATATTGTGTCCTTATCCTGGACACTGAACCTGCTTCAGATGAGGACTGCTCTGGAATGAAGCTCAGGCTGCGACTCCTCATTAAAGGCGTTTTACTATCAGAACAATCCATCACATTTCCATTTCCCAAGTTTAAAGTCACACTTCTGAGGGAATATCTACACAAGTTTGGAACATTTAAAAATCTGAGGGTTTAAAATGCAGGATAAACATGGAGAAGGTTTCTAACGGACACGTTTCCATGTCAGATGTTGGGATTTGTGCGTTTACAGTGCAGCATGTTTATCCTGTCCAACACCTCTGGCTCCACCACGAATAATATCTCACAGTTATACAGTAAACTATAAATAAATAACACTGACAAGTTTCAAGGAAAAACCTCAAAGTCCCGTGAAGGTGCTGAGACCTAAAATCGAGAGGGAAGGTGCTGAATGTGTGAGGGATAAAGGTTGAGTGTGTGGTCCGAGTCTAGCTGACAGACTTGAGCTTGGACCAGGGGTTTGTCCCGCGCACCTCCAGCAGCGGGTTGTTGGAGAAGATGTGGTTGCATAACTCTTCCAGCGGCGGCTCCGGGTCCGAGGTGGCGAACTGAGTCGCATCCTCCACCTGCTTACGGATCTCGATGTCGATTTCCTGACGGGAGAGAAATCAGGTGCTGTAATCCCTGCAGCTGCCGACATTTAAAACCGTTTGAAGCTGTGAATGTATCACTGCCGTCTGGACGCTCACCTTGAACTCCTCTACAGACGCCATGTTGTGGCTGAGCATGCGCTCCTTCAGCATGGAGATGGGGTCGCTCTTGCTGCGGACCTCCTGAATCTCCTCGCGAGTACGGTAGCTGCAGGAGGTCAAACCAAATTACTCAGAAAAAAAAAAATCACAACTCCCCCAGGGTCCGGTAAATCCAGACTTAGAAAGGTAACTCACCTGACACCTGGGTCACTCATGCTGTGTCCATGGTAACGGTAGGTCTGCAGCTCCATTATGATGGGACCCTGAAACACAAAGTGCTGCTTCACATCGATGCTCTGGAAGATTAGAGCCTTTTAGAGAGCCTACAGGAAACTCTCCATCACGAGAACCCTTCAAAATTAAAGCCCGTGGGTGTCCATGGACTTCTACCTTCACATGTATGAAGAACTGAGTGCAGCACAGAGGTTTTATTTTAAATTTATTTTTTAAAAATCTAAACCCTCACCTTTCCAGCTCTGCAGTGATCTGCAGCAAACTGTGCGGCCTCTCTGACGCACAGGACATCCATCCCATCCACCTGCAGGAGAGCAGAGAGAAACCTGACCATTGGCACACCTCTAAGCACAGAGAAGCGACCCCTGCAGCGACCCCTGCAGCGACCCCTGCAGCGACCCCTGCAGCGACCCCTGCGTTCCAGTGTGTTTGTGCGCAGTATCATACATGAGCATCAGACAGCTGTATGCATGCTCACACCTGCAACTGCCAGGACAGACTCTCAGCCTCTTCCTGTTATAGTCTGGGTCCAAACGGGCAGCGGCAGTGTACAGTCATCAGACACACTGCAGCCGCTGCCCAGGACCGGCACATTTACCCGCCATGTTTAACCCCGCCCTGCAGCTTTAATGTGTTAGTGTCTCACTCTGAGTCCAGGTATGAAGTCCCCCCTCTTGTAGTAGTCGGTGCTGGCTGCAGCTCTCTCCACTGATGTCCCCATGCCATACTTGTTGTTCTCGCAGATGAAAATGCACGGCAGCTTCCACAGAGCGGCCATGTTGTAAGACTCAAAGAGCTGGCCCTGATTGGATCAGAGAGGAGTCACAAAGTGCTTTACAGAGGTATTAAAAGCACACAGCTGAACCACGTAAACAAGGCAGAACTGCAGCAGCCTCTCCAGCTCACTTTGAGACAGTCATGAGTTTAGTGAGGTTTCTTAAATGGATAAAAGGGAGCGAGGGTGAGATCACCCTTTCCTTATTCCAACTACAACCTACAAGGACATATTTATTTATTATTATTTTTTAAATCTTACCTGATTGGCTGCTCCGTCTCCATAGAGCGTAACGCACACCTGGTTGTTGCCTTGGTACTGGCAGGCAAGAGCGATGCCTGCTCCCAAAGGTACCTGCACAGTTCACAGGTGAGTTACTGAAACTAACGAGTGTTTAACTACGGAGACGTGCAGGTGTGAGAGGCTTTTTAAATGTGCTCACCTGTGCGCCCACGATGCCGTTGCCTCCATAGAAATGTGGAGCGTACATGTGCATCGAGCCCCCTTTCCCTTTGGCCACGCCCCCTCTACGACCTGAGGAGCACAAATAAAAGTGAAGCTGAGACTAAGATCCAGCTCAGACGCGCACATGTTCAGACTGTAATACCTTCCTCTCGCTCTCACCTGTGAGCTCGGCGAGGATCTCTTTAACAGAGACGCCGCGGGTGTACGTGTACCCGTGGGCGCGGTACGCAGTGATCAGGTGGTCCGAGGGGTTGATGGCGGCCTCGATGCCTGCAGCACACGCTTCCTGCAGGAGAAACCACATGTTCTGCATCTCACCACACTCACAAACTGATGTTTGTTTGGGTTTTGTCTAAATGTTCTTGCATGCACTGAGATTTGGATGCAATATAAATGAATTGTGTTCCTGGCCTGCAGGCGCTGATACCTGTCCGTCGTACAGGTGACAGAAGCCTCTGATGATCTTCTGCTTGTAGAGCTGGTCAGCTTTGAGCTCCATGCGCCTCACCGTCTGCATGGTGCGGTAATACTGCAGGCCCTGCTCCCTCGTCAGCTCTGCCTTCACCGGCGGGCCCTCCTCCAGGCGGTGCAGGTCGCATTTCTACACCAAAAACAAAAACACCACAAACTGGAGAAGAAGACCAAACCAAAGATTTTACATTTCTGGTCCACAATGAGTGAAGTTTTAATAAACTACACAAATCCAGACCTGAACCAAAGATTAGCACATTTATTAATTTACTGCTGAATCCATCAACAGTGCTGAGCCTCCTGTAGTCTTTCAGGCCAGAATACAGATCTGAGTGGACTCGTGCTGATGATCATGACACTGAAACTATTGCTGATGTGATTCGATTCAGTTTGACAGCAGAATCAACTTTACAAATATAGCCATGA